CCTCTGACCCTCCTCCCTCTCATGCTCTCTGTCTCTCATTCTCTCTCTCTCAAATAAATAAATAAAATCTTTAAATAAATAAATAAATAAATAAATAATAAAAAAAGAAACTGTAATGGCGTTGATAGAGAAGATACTATGGACACAAAGTGGAGAAAAGCATGAATTCTCATCTCAGGGTTTTAGATTAAGGAAACTTCTCCAAAGAGGTTTTCTTTCGAGCTGGCCTTTAAAAATAGGACTAGGTATATCGGCAATGGGCCACATTGTTCTAGGCAGTAGTACAAGCATCAGTAAGTCTTGGACTTAAATCAGTAATTCATTCTAACTACATTGCCAGTTTTAAGGGGCAGGGAAAGAAATGTACTGTTTTGTTATTAGTTCCTCATTTAATCCTCTCAGCAATCCCATCATAGTCATTATTAAATATATAGAACACTGTGTGTGTGTGCCTGTTTTACAAATACGGAAACTGAATCACAAGGAGGTTAAATAACTTGACCAAAGTGACCAGCTAGAATGTAGAGACTCCCAGACCCTGTTCTAAACCATTACACCCAATCTGCCTGTTGCATTGTCTAGTATACTATGTCAGTCGAGGAAATAACTATTTCCATTCCCAGTATATGTTCCAAGACGCACTAGTTCATCAAGCTGCTATTAAATTAAATGTGGGGGATATTAGCCAGATGTGCTATCCCCCATTTAGAGGTTCACAGCCCTTAGAATATCAACATCTTTGAGAAGTCTTGTAAAATAGCCCATTTAACTTTGTTTCGTCCAACAAATTTCCAATTTATGTAACCACCAAAGTATCTATTAATGTACACATGGGAGAAAGCTGTAGTAGATAATAGGCTGTTACTGAATACATTCGGTGGAGAATTAACACAACCAGTTCTGTGTTTTAGAAAGCTCATTCTGGTGGCAACGTGGAGAATGGCTTCGAGGGAAAAATTGGAGTTGGGAAAATCAATTCAGCCCCTCCTTTCCCCTGAGACTGTACTCCACCTCTCATACCTGAGATTTCCCTGTATCTGTGAT